CGCTACTGCGCGTCTGTGCAATTACTTTGCGGGAACCCCCGGTACGCAACGCAATTTTTAATTTCGCGAACGAACCCACCTGATCCTGCCGGGAGTCACGACGCCACGCTTCAGTCCCAAAGCGGCGTCGCGGCGCCTTCATCGCCTACCGAAAGGCCGCGTCCACGTCTTCGCTCCGGTTTTTTTTTACGTCCGTTGCAAGTGTAAAGCCGTAATTTCGTATCGATCTGATTCGATACCGGGATTAGTTATTCCGTGGTAAATTTGACGGGGTAACCGACCCTCATAATAAAACGATGCGGGTAATGCACGTGCAGATTTTTAAAAACGCGATATCGTTTTTGCACGTGATTCGGTCATTTGCTTGCTAATCCGAATAAGCAAGTATAAACTGTAATTATAATAAACGTACTACAAATTTATTTTCGCAATATATCGTAAAAATGACGTGTCCTTAAATTTAATCATGTAAATAGGCTGATTTAATTTTGCGGCAACTTTGGTTCATAACAAAACGAAATTTTAATGTAGCGTGATACTTCGCGTTTGTAATAGCACATTCTGAATCTCCCGGTGTTGAGAGAACTGGGTCAAAATCGACTTGACAAATTTGACCCAAATAATAACCTGAAGGTAAACAAAACCCTACGAAAACCCGGTTTTGTTAAATTTTCCCTATTCTGCGTCGATTAGTGGCATGGAAAATTATTTTAGTTTTTCGTAATTAAAACAATATATTGGAACAATGCTGCTTAGAAAATATAGGTAGCTTGATGTGTAAATAATTCATTTTTCAAAGTAGTGAAAGAAATCAAAAATATATAGAAAATAGACACACTTACACTTTACATTGATTGGTATTAAAATTTTCAAAAATAATCTGTTTTTCTGCCGATTTTGGTAAAATTTGTGGGTTTCTTTGTTGTGCAGTGAGATGTCTAATTCAGATCTGATTGCATATTTTTAATTTCAATGGCGACCTCGCTGGGAGTACAATTGCCCCCCTGTGGTTTCCTCTATATTTATATTTCTATAAACTTCTTCTGTATATTTTTATTTTATCTATCATCGTGGCAACAAATCGGGTGCTTGGTGAGGTCCAACTAGATCTTTTAGCGTTACATTAAAACTTTAACTTTCAGCTTTGCATGTAATTACTATTTGTTTATTGTTTCTAAAGTTCTTTCAATAAATGACGGTAAAACAACAAATAACAATAACACGTCACCGAGTAAAACTAGTCGGGAACCCCTGTGGAATAAAATAATTTCGGCAACTACTACAACAAGTAAACCTGTCGTCACTCATCTAAGTCGACAAACACTGTTATGATATGGATGGATTATCTTTCCTATCTATAAGAGGTAAAGTGACAATAACATTCATGCCACTTAACTCCGCAGAAAAAAATAAAACAGTTCCATATTTTCCTTTATCCTCGTCAACAATTAACTCATTTCCTGCCTATCTACCATAAGTTGGACATAAAAAAAATTATTCTGTTGTACAATTTTACTACTAAATAGGTAGATAGTTATAACTGTTGAACATTTTATCAATGATTTTTTAGCTACCGCGGCATCGTACACATTTAGTCAAATGCAGTTTCTTTCGAAGTAGGAATATTAATAAGAGCTTTTTCCTACTGCTACTGCAGTTGCAAAAAAATATTTAGCAAATTTCATTTCAGCAAAACTTAGAAGTGTTACAAATCATATCAGCATATTGCAACTGCAACTTAACGTAACTACAAGAAAGGTTATTAGAATTCGAAATCATTGGAATTTCGAATTAAAAAGATGAGTATGTAGCCAACTTACAAGATAACTTCATTCATATGATTTTCGAATGTATATCTCGGAATCCTGAAAATTTAACGAAGAACGGATTTTCCCAAATCGTTCGGAAGAAGGTCCGCTTTGCTTAACTCGCCGTGGTTTTAAAATAGCAGTGCGAATTAATTAAACAAGCATCAGAGTTTAAAATTATCTCATCTCCAAACATTGCGTGCCCCATTATCACAGATGCTCAAAGTTTACTTCGAAAAATGCCATAGCTGAAGAGCAACAACGTCGAACAAGCACTTAATTTCCACAAATAAACGACGTTGAACAAACCGACACGATTGGGGAGAAATCCCAATCCACTCGGCTCCAAAATTGCATAATATATTCAGTTTACAACCGATCGGCTATTAAATCAATGGAAAGTAGATGCAAAATTCATTCCGATAATCAATCTTAGAGTAACGATTATTAACATCTCGTTTTACGTAAATAGTGCTTCGTCGAACATTACTGTGAAATTGTGAAACATTTTATCCATAGAGAGAACGAAAAAAAAATTTTTTTCCAATGCATTAAAATAAATTTTCCGTTTTTGTTAATTACCCCGAGAGCACAACATATAACAATTTGCTGCGGACAGTAATTTTAGGTGGTCCGGGAATAGAGAGCGCAATCAAACGAAATTTACGAAAATTTGCGCGAAATTGCTTCTATAAATAACTTCCCTTAAAACTGCGGAAATATTAATTTAATAGCGCTTTAAAGCGATCGACTTGAAAAGTTAAAAAAAAATTATTTTTAAATCGGTTCATATGGAATAACGTAGATCGTATAACATTTATCATTTTTCTAGTATGTTTAGTGTAAGAGATGATATTTTTTACCTGTATGTATTTCATGTTACAGATATTAAATTGGGCTCATTTTTTGAAAATAGAATTTCGATATTTGTTCAATTAAGGTATATAGGTATATATAAAATTAAATACTGCGCGAAGTTGCCAATTTCACCATGCCAACTTTTCTTTCGACCAATGACATAGCATACATCTTCGTGAGAATTTCCTTGATGTTGCAATATTTATGACAAGTAAAGGTCAAATGCGATAATAAGTTGTCAAATTAGTAAGACAAATTAAAATATAACTGCCAAATTTAAAGTATTACAAATTCGCTGAGTATAAACACTTCATATCAGAAATAGGAAGGTCCATTGTAAGTTCTACAATAAGTGATATTAAAATCTATTTCGGGAATGTGTGCAAACTACAGTTTGGCTTTAATTTCATTGCAAAATTCTTTCTTTTAGTCGAGTGCAGGTCCACCAACACTGAAAATGGTGAGCAAAAAGTAGTCCCGCTAAGATATCTTCTTGCCGTGGACGGTTCGATTGATCAAGTAGTCAGAATCCCACGTTTGATCATCTTCTTTAATGATGTCCTGGACTGCTTTTCGCAAGTTCTCTGGTGTCACTTCTTCAACAGATTGATTAAACAGTAGCTTAAGGTCTGTGTCATTCTAATATCGTGGTGTATCTTGCTGCAAATCCTTTCTTTCTTCTTCTTCTTTAGAAATTAGTACGCAATAATTGACATATTTCATAAAACAATATTTGTGTAAATTTGCTATACTGCTATATTAATTATTCCTTTGCATGAAATTATCTTCAAATTCAATATTTTTCGTCGTTAACCTTCATTAATCCAAGGTTCAGCAGGAAAGATTTTCTTCTGCCCTCTTCGATACTGCTTTATAATACTCAAATATTTCCAGCAAACAATTTCATCGCTTTAGAAATAAAGGTATTTTACGGTTATGCTGTTCCTATGCAAAATCCATATTTTTAAAGTGGTCCATAAAAGTTTCAATGTATTTGCTTTACTTTGGCTTTTTGCAAAATGGCTAAAAGTTTTATCTCGAGAGATATGCGATAAGGTGATTGATAAAATGCCTAGAAACCTGCGGCTGTGACACCATAGAAGGACACATTTTCGCTGGACCAAGTGACTTCCCAGCCTAAGCCTAAAGAATATGTTTTTCGTGTGGAGGCACTAAGATATCTCTAGTCAATCACGTTATATTTAGTATACGTCGCCGTTGTTCATCACAAACAATAGATCAACACCATCAAAAAAACCATCAAAAATCGTCACTTATGAATCTTCGCAGAATACAGTGAAGAGGAAGTTAAAAGGACTTTGGCGAATATTAAAATTTCGCTTGAATTTCCTAATTTCCACACCCTTTAAACCTCTTGGGTTCACGACTAGCGGTGTGCTGTAGAATGTGCTTTTTATGTTGGCATCTATTATGGTTTGTCTGGTGCACTTTAGTATGACGTTCTTGAATTAAGATTAGTAACAATTACGACTGATCTTATTAAGTTAGTGTGTTAAAATGATCGACTGGGTTTCGATAGTGCGCCATTCGAGAAGACGATTTTCGAATTATATGTACAATGTGCCTAACAAAGTGCGACGGCGCAGACAACGAAACCCGAAAAATCCGCCTAATTCGACTATGCAGCCACATGGATGTTCCTCCTGTTGGATTGGCGATAAAGTAGAGGTATCATACGCATAGCAATATACAATAGGTAGTTGTTCATAGTTCCCATACATTCTACACATTTTCCTTTTTAAGATATCCTTAATATGGTTTATGGATGCCTAGTAATGTTCTGGCATATCCAGTTGGATTGCGAGCACAACCGTTCTGATGAGATAGTTTCAGTGTCAAGATAGAATTTATGTTTATATTGTTTGTATTTTTGTAATAATATTTAATAATATTAATTTTGTTTGATTTTTCAATTCTTTGGGGGCAGAGTTTTGATTTTTGTACTTTTGCTAAAGTCAGCAAAACAACAATGGTTTCGGAAAACATCAACCTTCCTGTTGCTATCTACATCATCTCATCCGTCTCCATTTAACGGTTAACCAGTCCAATTGGTTTTTAATTATACCTTATCTGCCATATATAAATAATTCTAAATTTCGAAATAAATACTCGCAACAACAATCTATAGACTCAAAAATAATCAATACCTGTAATCAATAATTAATACTTATAATCAATAACTAATACCTATGACTATAAAACAGATTTGTATAGTTCATGACATTTATTACGGCATAGTAGGAAGTAGACACCACATTAAGCCATAATACGCAGTGACCAGATGATATTATGTCGATGTCTTGCTCCTTGCAGAAAACCAGATACGGAGATGAAGAACTTGCTCCTCCATCAACTCCCGTTCCCAAGGTAAGAGAAGTGACCGCCATATCTAATGCCGACGGTTTGTCCAGACAAGGATCAGTGGAAAGGGGGTCAACTGGACGTCGAAAAAGTGGTTCGATAGATAGGGGTGTCATCGATCACGTCGGCAAGGATCAAGTGCACAAAATGGTGAGCTACGTAAAATATACGATTTGTCTATCTGAAAAATAATGTATTACGTTCACTTGAGTGGTTCGTTCTAGATTTTTTCTTTTCTCGAGGATAGATTCTTAAAAGTTCGAATCCTCCTGATGTGTCGATAGATACCAAAGTCGTGCATGAAGAAATGACCCACAAACATGTTAAACAAATATATGCTTCCGAAATACGATAGCACAAGTAGAGCTGCTTTCATTATTGGTTGCATTTTTGGTAAATTTTACTATGAAATTTTGGCTTGTCACTTGAAGTGACAGTAAAACTGCAGTGAAATGCGGGTTAAAATGATTGTTATAGATATTTTTGGTGAGGGTGTTTCGTATTACGAAGTAAAGGACTACGGCCATGAATATTCTACATTAATCTTGGAATTAATATTATGATATTCATATGAGTCAGATTCGTAATTCGTAATCCGTCGATGTCATATCGAAGTTAATAAAATATGCAAAAGTTATTCATTTTAGTTACTCTAAATGAGGGCTTTTAAGCATTGACTAGAGGACACACACACCCATTAAGGGCGGAATTTTTTTTATTATAGTTGCCTTTCTGTCTTTATAACCTAGAAAGTCTACGGCGGGTTTTAAAATGATGTGTTACCGTTTGATGTTTATAATTTATAATGCTTTTCGAGACTTGGGCTTTGTTTTTATAGAGCAACAAATCTGTATAATTTTTGTTAGCAATGAAAATATTGAAATTTAAATTTAAATTGATGTTTAAAATATATAATAAATGTATAAATGTAATATATAATGTATAAGTGTAAATATATGAAAAATGTTTTAGGTTTTTTAAAACACTTGTTAAATGCAATAATGCTAACTAAATAGGCTGCTAGGTACAATATTAGGGAAACGGACGGAGCTAGAAATTTTCTTAAAAAATTTTGAAATAATTTTTATTTAAAAAATAACTGACATTAAGAACCAATACCTGTGAGTTTTTAGGTCTTGTATTGTGTGTGGTGAATAATTATTTAAAATCTAATAATGAAATTTTTATATTAATCAGATGATGATGAACATATTTTGATATATTTTTTATATAATATAATTTGTCATTCAGAGAGAACCTTCAAAATATCAGCTAAATCTCAGTACCGTGTCATTTCCATTTCTAAAATTTACATATAAATTCTTTTTTTTTGTACCAATTGATTTAGACTAATTAACTCATAAATTCTTGTTTCTATGATCAAACAAAAAAGGAGACCCTTTTTTGGTTAATGCTTTAAGTTAACAGTGAATCTCGGTTCAATAACTTTGATCTTTAAAATTTAATGAATTTTTGAATTTGAATTTATATAACTTGAGCGTCATCTACCTTTGAGATTTATGAAATGTCTGGGAATCATGTTGAGAGAACGTCATCTAAGTACTGTTTACAAACATGGAGTTAATGAAAGAGTGCAAAGATTTTATATGATTTTAGAACTGAAATTTCTTTTATGTCAGTACCGTCGTTCTTAACGCTTTGCAATTGTAGTAAAATCGTTTCAGACTTTTGCAGTAAAATGGATGAATAATATGCATCAACATTTTTAAAAATATAGTTGCATAATCTTAAAAATTTTAAGAAACAAAACGGAATCACCCATAAATATAAATAACGAATATTTGTTTCGATTTTAAATATTGCTTGACGCACTAAATAACAAATTAGCGTTTTATTCCAGGGCCATTAATAACAAAGTAAACTAAGAATGCTTCCCAACATTCAGCTTTTTTCCTGTTTTAGGCTAGAATAAAGATATTGAGATACGGTTTTCACTCAATAGGTTGGTTGAAGAAAAGGTCCTTTTAACTTCTGACTAACTTCTAATTGTGTTTAATATAATCACATTTTCCAGAAACTGGGTTTCAAAAATCAAAATGCCAAGTACACCGCCTGGTGGCCATTTCAATAACTCGAAAATAATTTCCTGCATTTTATTTGCATCAAACCGAAACTCAATTGTACGTACTCGACGCGCGTTTCGCCAACCAAGTTGGCATCTTCAGGAGAAGATTAAAACTAAACTAAAAAAAACTAAACGCGTTATTGTGTGTTAGTGCAGTGCCGAAGGTTCCAGTCAAGAGTTTTATTTGCATTGTTTTTTGTTGCTCTTCGTTACCCTATCTGGGATACCCGTTAAATGCTCCTTTAGGCTACCACGCGACAAATGTAATTTTTTTGTAATTCGCGTTAAACTAAAAAAAAAATAATAATTAACCAGATATAAAATCAACACACAAGTTCTAAAAACACGTAAGTAGCTGAACAGCTTATGATGCATTTTTTTTTCAAACTCCGTTACTCTCGAGGCTAGAAACCCCTTTGTTTCTATTAGAGCAGCGCTTTGGAGATTCTTTGTTCAAAGATAATAAAAGTTGGAGTCGTTTCAAACGAGGTGTCGGCAGGTACTAGAAGACAACGCTGACACATTTGAAAATCGCACTTACGGGTGGGTGCTTGGAGGAAAATGCCGACACGCTTTTACTTTTGGCGGATGATTCAACCCCTATTACGTGTAACTATTGCTTTGATTGAAAGAAGTGCTTTCAACTTTTCACTCATTTCTAACAATAAGGTTATTTATAGAAAACCTTGTCTAACGAGTGTGCAATAAACTCGTCAGTTTAGCAGTTGTGGCCGGAATGTTCATATGAATCATTTTGAAATACATTATAGGTATTGTCCTGACAGTCTGACTATATGAAATATATAAAAATTGAAGATTAACGTTTGGACAACCATTTACTCACATTTATTTATTTACCATGGGTATGCTGTGGTGTCATTTTATTTAAGTCCAAAATTTAGATAGATCCATCAAAAAAACAGACAATCTGCAAAGGTCTTCCTTGCACAGATCAATTTACAGAATGTATTTCCTTCCATAAAATATGGAATAGAAGAAAGAAGAAAGCTTAGGCGAGTTAAAATGAAACTATCAAATTAATATAATAAATACTAAGACAAAACCTTGGTATTGCTCTTTTATATGTTAAAAGTTATTTAGTCACTTAGTAATTTGAGTCACTTTCCTCTGTTTATCAACTTAACAATAATCAACAGGCTACGTCAATACACATTTCCAATTCAGAAAATAACAAACCGTGGAGCCCGCACAAACTAGAGGTTTGGATATTTATTTTACTACAATCCAAGGCAACACACTATAATACATATAATAAACAAAATAATTTTCCATATTTTTGGAAACAATTAAATTATGATTTTTGTAGGGGTCTAATTCACACCATTATATGCCTCTTGTGTTCACAAAAAATTACACTGTAGCAATAGTTTGCAAACCTAATACAACTCTTGGAGAAGCTGGGTATTTTTCTCATATTCTATATATACAAGAAATATATCAGCAGCAAATTTTTGTACTACTATCCTGCTGCGAAATTAAATAATGCAAACAAAAGCTACGATTCATTCTGCATTCTGCGAAAACTGCAGAATTAAGCTCACCCGGAGTTAATCAACACCCGGAACTAATTTTCATTAAAACCTTGCGTCTAATTCAGTTTGATGTGGTAATAGAAAACGGCTGTCTCTGCGAAAGCCTTATCTATGCAGCTTGTAAACGGATATAACACAGAAGAGCTGTACACGGTTTTACCCTATCTATTTGACAATCTCTATTGTGTGCTAAGACTCTTTTAAACTTAAATAAAATTATTTCAAAATTTGGCTGTAAACAATGAAATTCATATTTTATAATATCATAAAGAATTGGATACAAATATGCATAGCCAGTAAACGGTTCGCAATTATATATCAAAAGTATGAATAAATATTAATATATCATAAATATTAATCGCATTGCTAAAATAGGACCGACTAGAAATACGTCTTTTAACTTTACTAAAGATCCGTAAGTTATTATGCTGAAAGCCTTTGTTTCATTGTTCCCTAAACATAATCTTGTCATTCAGGTAGTTCGCATCAGTTCTTGAGAAATTTGTAATTTGTATGAGAAATTATATGTTCAACTGCAATTCGCTAAGTAGATGTAACAAGATTGGGTGCAACTGGATTGGCAATTCAGGAGTCCTTTTACAGTTAAATTTTCACTTATAATTGTAGAACTAAATAGAAACAACTAAGTTAATTAATTGCTTTTTATGTTATTTCATGGTTAATAGCTGTGACGGGAAATATATAATACTCGTTTCGACTGTAGATTTAGTATCTGTGATTCACGAATTTATTGTTTCTTTTTCTATGTCAAACTGTGAGCAAATAACAAATTTGGTCATAAAAATGATATATGTGGCTCCAAAAATGATCTTGCAACCCCCCCCCCCCCCCCACCTTTTTTTTTCACCAGCGGCATCCCTCGTACGCCTGCCACCTAGAAACGACTTTTATAAAAAAAAAAGAAACAGCCAGCTAAATAGTAGAAGACACGGTTTTTATTTGTGAACTTTTATCGTTGATTTTTCACTTGCCTTGTGCAGCCTTGCAATCGATGTGAAAGCTTCCTCTGCGAGCCAATTAATTACTAGCAAACCTCGGAACCTGGAAGTCGGAAACTTTAAATAGATACGCATTTCTAAGCAAAGATTGTTGGATGTAGCTTACTGCTGAGGATTTATTTTGACTTCCTTAACTAATTTCACGCAAACAAAAACCAAACTGTAATCTACGGAGGAAAAAAACTTTATTTAGAATCACCTGAATACGCCTTAGTTATGATTTTTTCTTTATTTTCCAAATTATAATTGCAAAAATAGAGGAACGGCGTGCTTGGAAACAGGAAGGAACTCTTTTGTTAATTGACAATTTTGAACCGTATCCAGCTACTAAATATTTATTTATTTGGTTACTACTTGTAGATGTAGTTATACTCCAGTCAGAGCAGTTGTACACTTACGTTACGTATATATGATCCTTAGGTCTTAGCTATATTGCTACCATAACTATAAATAATGATTCCTAAATTGACAAACCAAATTCCTGTGTCAATT